AGAATACATTACTCAGTGTGTGATTATATATTGTGCATAGTTTATTTTCATTACTTTATCATATTCATCAGTTAAATTAATGTGCAAGAATGCAGTGGAAGAGAAGGCAGAGAAGTGGGCGGGGCTATTTAGAGGAAGAATTCAGAATGAAAGACCTTTTAAGTTGCAAATGGAGTATGAAAAGTCACTGTCCTTTACAGGCTTTATATTCTTAGGCAAGACTCAGTATTTATGATATCCTGCTTGATGGTCATCACTCTGCTACCTGGAGAATGGAAGTGAAGATCTTCTGGAGTTTTATTTTACTGTCTCTCACTACAAGTAAGATCCTGATGGGTTGATTTTATACTGAATGTTTTCATTCTGCATTAAATATTATAATATTTTATTCATTGGTTTGTTTTCCTTCAGAATGTTGGAGTCAAACACTGATCCAGTCTGAAGCAGTTGTCATTACACCTGGAGGATCTCATACACTGACCTGTACACCATCTGAACTACACTTTGACAACTACTGGATGGGCTGGGTCAGACAGGCTGCTGGAAAAGGCTTAGAATGGGTTGCAATAATTTCAGACAACAGTCAGTCCAAGTATTACTCTCAGTCTGTCCAAGGAAGGTTCACCATCTCCAGAGACAACAGCAAAGACCAGCTGTATCTGCAGATGAGCAGCGTGAAGAATGAAGACACTGCTGTGTATTACTGTGTACGACAACCACACTGACACAAGAGTTTACAGAGCTGTACAAAAACCCGTCCAGTGTGTCAGGAGGGAGGAAATAGAAACACTTTCACTTCTGCATTTTCACTGTTACAGTGGAATCAGCCAAGAAAAGAGTTTACTGAGGAATAATGTAAATTATTTGATATATTTAATAATTGTCTTATTCAGAAATATAAATCCAGCATTCTGTACAATCCTATAAATAAAGATTCCTAAATGGTTCTTATGTGAATTTACAGATCAAAGAGCCTTTATATTAACCTAAGGTTCTTCAAACCTTACAAACCTATTCTTTATGTATAATATAATAATTATATTAATTATATAATTATTAATAATTGTCAATGTTAGAAAAAGGCAGAAAACACATTTTAAACAAAAAGTTAAACAGAAGCCTCAACACTTTTCTTCATTTTGCAGTATTTAGTTATCCACCCTTTGGTGGACATCTTACCACCTCACTGCAAGTGGATTATCTCATGTCTAATATCTTCAGATACACCTTCTGAGAAATGAATAACTTGTACTTAATGGCCATTTCAACTTCAATATTAATAAATAAAGGGTGGTCTCTGAGTTTAATTATTTCTTATACAATCCATCAATCTGCAAACACTTAAAAACAAAATGTTTTGAAGGTGTGGTTCTTAAAAAGAAAACGTTGAACAGTGTAGAGCCTTTTACCTTCTGCTGAGTCTTAACCTTTACAAAGGCTCTTCACATTCAGACGTCTCATTTAAAATCTACTGAAAATGAATCACCTGTTCTTATAGGGCGTTTTGAATAGAAGTTAAATAAATGGAAGGGGTCTCTGACATTTGCACAATGCTGTAAATGTCAGTTGTCTTTATTAATCTCTATTTTGTATTATTTAAATAATACAAAAGAATAAATCTCATAATTATCACTTCTTTTGTAACCCACTGTCTTTACAATCACACAAATAAACAAGCAATGTCAGGCAGAACTGAAGGACTGTTTCAGCCTCCAGGGGGCAGCCTGTGCATTCATTACAAATGAATGTTCTCTAATTCTGGTAATGAAGAGTGTTCAGTTTATCATTCAAACATTCAGTTCATATTCATATCATCCAAAGCCTCCATCTGAAGACACTGTTGGACTGATGGTCTGTCAGTGGAGGAATATATATTTTTTTTTAATTACTCAAAACAAAAATGAATAAATAAATGACAGGATGATGCACTGATTCTATATCTATGCCTTCTTTTTGTAATTTGAATGTGAGTCAGTTCAGATATACAGCTTTACAAAGACTCCTAGAGAAACTCATTTTCAGTACAGTTTTCAGTGTTCTGATTATTTCTTCACTGGTTTATATTTACTACAATACACTGGTGATGCAGGAACTTCAGAACAACCTGGTCTCAGTTTGAAGTTTGTAGTAAAAGCTTACAAGGCAACATTATTAAGATTCTCCAGTCTGAGGATGTCCCCCTAAATCTTTCTGCTGATGAACCCTTCAGAGGGTGGGACATGCAAATACGACTTTTCCTTTATAAACACAGATTCAAACTTTTATCCTCACTTTACTTTGATTTTTCAGCAAAAAACATGAAACCAAGAACCATTCACATTAATGACTGTAATCAGTGAGTAGCTCATCTGAGAATCTTTATTCATGCCATTTGTGTATGTGTGTGAGATTGTGTGTCAGTGTTTGAACTGAACTGATTAACTGAGCATTTATTTGACAGGTTATAAATGTCAGACACTGACTGAGTCAGAGCCAGCGCTCATTAAACCTGGAGGATCTCACACTCTCACCTGCACCTTCTCTGGAATTGATGTTAACAGTGCAGATATATCCTGGATTAGACAGGCTACCGGAAAAGGACTTGAATGGATCTCACATATTAGGGATAAGTATTACTCTCAGTCTGTTAAAGGAAGATTCACCATCTCCAGAGAAAACAGTAAGAAGCAGGTGTATCTGCACATGAGCAGCTTGAAGACAGAAGACACTGCTGTTTATTACTGTGCACGAAGAGACACACTGATACAAGACACTACAGTGCTGTTCAAAAACCGGATGCAGGCTGCTGAGATCTTTGAGGATCCTTTTCTAAACAAAACGAGGAAAGATATAATTATCAGACAACGGCTACATTCAGCATCAAGGTAGTTACTCAAAAAAGTGATCTACTGCAAAAAGACTAATTATTTCAGAAAATAGACATCCAAAATGTTGTAATACCTGATATTGACAAAATCTCATTCACTAGTCATTTTCTGCAAAATAGAAGTTGGCTAAATCTGACAGGCTTCTACAGACGAACCCACACCCACATGAAACGACACAACTGGAGCTACCAATGGGTGGTCTGGCAAAACAGTGTGTCCAGCAACACTAATATCTTTCAGTGAGGGAGCTTTGAGGGACATTAAAGTCTGCAGACATGTGGTTCCCATCACCACCACTGTGAACAAATCTGATTCTGAAGTTTGTCATGAACAGATCAAACCACTCTGAAGAACTTTATTTCATTTAAAATATTCATTTTTCAGTGTCAGGATGAAAAGCAGAAAAGACAGAAAGTAACAGAAGACTCATAAACTAAATCCACCTTTAGACCTTTATTACAGCTTCAATTCTCTTCAGGAGTCTCACTCTCAGTTGTTGAAGTAAATCTGCAGACACACCTCCAAAGTTCAGTCTTAGAGGTTGATTTATCATTTCTGCTACTCACAATCCAACAACCAACACATTCAGTGGTGTTGAGGTCTGGACTCTGGGGTGGACAGTCCATTGTTTAGCTTCTTTGTTTGATATGTCTCCTTTTCTCAGTGAGGTTCTTCTTGACAGCTACACATCCTTTCAGACCCATAGCGCTGAGTTGTCTCCTCACAGTGGAAAGATGGACAGAAACACCTGTGGATTTTTTTCAGATCTCAAGCAAGAGTGGAACTTTACTCTCTTTGTATCTTTTATTATTATTAAAACTTTTAATTCAAGGTTTAGAAACTTGTCTTTTTTCCATTTGTCATTCTTTTGTAGGCAAGTGAATAATTTTATTCATCCTCTCCTCAGAAGTGTCTACTGAAAGTACATTCATTGTTCTTAATGGCTGTTTTTACTCAATATTAAATAAATGAAAAGTGGCCGCTGACCTTTGCAAAGTGCTGTATGGAGTCTCACTGGACCCTCAAAGACTGCCTTTGAGATTGAAGGCGCTGGCCGAGACTCCTAGACAGTGGCAACACTTTGATTTGGCCCAGCAATCTTTTATCGTTGGCCCACTGACAATGACTGCTCAGGCTTACTTTTAACACTAATATATTATTAATAAATAAATTAAAAACACAAACAAAAACAATCATTAAAAATTCAACATACTCAAAATGTAGTTTTAACATCAATCATAATTCCAGTTTAAACAATAGTAACGGGTAGAACTGTGAGAAGCTTGTTCAGAATTTCAAACTCTGAATAATAATTAATCAAAACTTATCCAAGATCACCACCACACTGGAAACATTTGAACATGATTTATTATTCAGTTTTATTTGGGGACTATTTTGCCTTATAAAACCCTGCATGAACCTCTAAACTATGCACTTAAAAAAAAGCATTTAGAGGCTTTTCAGACATCTGGTTCCTATCAGCACCACTGTGAACCAAACTGACTCAGTAAGTGTCTCTAGAACAGAGCATTTCACACCAAACCACTCTGAATGACTTTGTTGAAATATTAATAATTAATGCAGACATTTTGAAAAACTGGTGGAATTCTCTTTTATATATGCACCAAAATACAGGTAGAGTTTCTATTTCAGCCTGTAGGGGGCAGCCTGTGCATATCTAACATTTACATACAAGGATAATCGCTTATTATTCTGATTATGAAAAATATTCAGTTTATCATGTTAAACATTCAGGTCAGGTTTAGACAGTTCAGAATTTCTTTCTGTTTAATGTTTCAAAGATGCTGCGCTGAAATTTTGTAAAGGTGAAACTTTTATTATTAATTAATTCACAGAATATAATGTGAGTGTTCTGTATGCATGACAGCCAAAAATCACAAACATAGTACATAAATCATAAATCTATAACATACTGCACTGCATGATGAAACTTTCTAATGTGTTCTGTATCAGAAAAAATTGCTTAATATAAGTGACTTAGAGAGTTTCTCTAAAACAACTTCTGGATTATTCTTTTCAATAAAACTCAACACATTATGTTATCTAGCACAGCCCACATGAGAACCAGCTCCATTCCTGACATTCAGCCCCTTTTCGTTCATATGCAAATCTCCATTTGCTCTCATAATATCAGCAGCATCTCCCTCTACAGCAGCTTCCATCACTCTAAATGCAGCACAAACATGTTCTCTTCAGCTCCACTGCTGCTGCTGGCTGCTGCCTCGTGTGAGTGTCCAACTGAAGCTGGATTTGACTTCATCTGATTTATTACTGCAAATATACAAACCTTTTCTTCTCTCTTTCACAGATGTGTTCTGTGCTACTGAGCTCATCCAGCCAGACTCAGTGCTCATCAAACCAGCAGAGCCTTTAACCATCACCTGTACAGTATCTGGAGCTTCTATCACTGACTACAGCTATTTTGGAACAGCCTGGATCCGCCATCCTGCAGGAAAAGCTCTGGAATGGATCAACCTCATTTATTATGATGGAGACATACGTGCTAAAGATTCACTGAAAAGCAAGTTTAGTGTCTCTCGAGACACAACCAGAAACACAGTAACCCTACAAGGACAGAATCTGCAAGCTGAAGACACAGCTGTGTATTATTGTGCTCGATATGATCACAGTGCTGTAAGAGACCAGCTGAGACGTACAAAAACTCACTCACACCAGAGCTTTTATTCAAACAGAGGACAAAGCATTGATACAGACCATGGTAATGTGAACAAAGATTATCTGTAAAAAAAGTCAGTGGTAGTGTTTTATAAAACTGATAATTGTTCTGTACCACTTTTAAAGCCATTGTTAAATATTCATTCTGTTCTGTATTAATGTGTCAAGACAGTAAATTCCTTTGTTCTCTGAATGGACGGTTAAACTGCTCACATGGACCACCAAGTGTACTGATAGATGAAGTAAGAGCCTGATTTTGTGTAAACCAAGGAGAAGTTCACGCATTTTCTCAATGACCAGGCTTTTCTATATTCTAGCATGTTAAAGAAGTATAAAGTGAAGAATGTTGTTTGAATGTCTTACATGCTTCAAATGTCTATGTTTTAGGTCTGAGGTATTAAAGTAAGTGTGGGAAAGTGCACGTTTGGCACTGAACACAATCCAGGAAATCACACTGAGATGCTAGTTGAAAGCACTGTTGTGGTGATCTATTGTGCCAAAACTACCCTAAAAAGATTGTACATTAAACATCTCTATTTTCTTATATTTTCAATTCAATTAATTGTTGTATAAAAATGAAACGTGATTATTAAAAATGACTGCATTATACAATGATTGAATTTAATTGAAAGTTTGTGTCCCATATTCTAATTGAACTTGGAAGAGTTGTTTATTGCAATTAACTATGCACCAAATATTTCCTTGAAAATGTGTGTGTGTGTGTGTGTGTGTGTGTGTGTGTGTGTGTGTGTGTGTGTGTGTGTGTTTGTAAATATTGCCACAATTGCCTTAAAGCAATAAGGGCCCCACTGGCCCAATGACGGCTAACTGTGGAATAATTAATCTTTATCTTTGATAGTTCTAACAAGTAGTGTTTATTAACCAAAACAATAGTAATCTTCACACTGTAAGATAGGCCTTAGCTTGCATGGGAACTTGGACACAGAGTGCCCCTTTTAGCAAAGGGGGCCTCCAGAGGTTTGTGAGAAGCTTCTGTGTGAGCAAGAGGAGCTGTCCTTGAGATAAGAACCAGTTTCTGGAATAGGTGAATTTACAATGCGACCAGTCAAAGCTAATACCCTTGGGAGAATGGAACATCCTGGTACAGCTAAGATAAGATATTTTTAAAAAACATATCTTGTGTATGTTTGGAAATAAGGATTCCCAAGTGAAAATGTAAGGGTTCCCAAGGAGATGTAAGGTTTGGAAATGATGGAAACTAAGATGGTATAGAATTTTATAGAAAGGGAGGGGTGATGAAGTAATCACCCCAAACAGGATATAAAAATGGATGTTTTTGAGATGCTCTTTGCATTGTGGTTGTCCGGGAACCATCTTGCCATTTAAGCTTAATAAAGAAGGCGGCCGTTTCCTTCCTTCCACAAGAACCTAGCGACTGAAGTCTTTTATTTACTTTGCTCTTTTAAACTTAGACAGTTTTTATTTTGTTAGAAGAAGTTATACTGCAGTTAGCTCTTAAGGTAACAGTATTAGAACACGCTAGAAGAATCCATCTTCTGTCAACGGGCCTTGGGAGCAGAAGAGAGGCTCTTAGGCCCGACACTAGTGTGGGTTTGGGCTGACCCATACAAAACCCATACATGCCCTGCTTGGACTGCCTGGACATCCCCACAAAAAAACTCTCACTTAGTCAGTGCTGAGTTAGAGCTGCCTCTGCAAAAAGTTCAGTACCTATGTAGTCAGTCTTATCAGCATCAGTGAGCCTTTAAGTAGGTTTGTTCCAAAATCGAGACTGCTGATTGGCTGTCTTAACTACATTCTGCATGCATTGTATTCACTTCAGCTCTACCTGATTACAGCACTTACTTTCAGTTTGTTATTTAGAAGGTATTTGACAAAAACTTCAGGAATATTGATCAAGATGTTGGTATGAAAAACTGGGCTGACACACTCATAACTAGCTGAAACAAAACATTCAATATTTTATTGTGTTTTAATTATTTATTTATTTTTGTGTCACTTTTTAAAGTACGTGCTCTTATTTTTTGGTACTGTTTTCTGTGCACTAGTACCAACAACTAGGCCACTTAAGTGGTCTTTAAGCTTTCATTCTCCAAGAGTTAGAACCACTAAACTCAATGTGTTCAATGAACAAAACCTTGGGTTCTGGGTTCTTTGTTCAGATGTACAATTAAGTATCAGACACATAACAGTCAAAAAAGTGAAAGAAAAAAATTAGACTTTACCATTTAGATGATTAAACAAATGTATATATTCAAGAAAAATATAAAAAATAATATAAGCAGCACTTTGCAAAAGTCAGAGACCTCCTTCTTTTATTTAATTTCAATTCCAAACTGCCTTTAAATTCAAGATAGAAATTCTTCAGGAGTTTCTATGTGAGATGTGTGAGCATGAAAAACCTATCTAGAGTTTAAAGAACCACAGTAGAATGTGAAAGTTCTCTATCAATAAAAGGTTTTTACTAGATCTACATATTTAAATCAAGAGCCATTTAAGACCCTCTTTGATGAGAGGTCACAGCAGGGGTGCCCAGTCCTGGTCCAGGAGATCTACCAGCCAGGAGAGCTCAGATCCAGCTCACCTGTTTCTAATGTTCAGATGCCCCTAAAGACCTTCATTATCTGGTTCAGGTGTGTTAGATTAGGGTTGGGCACCCCTGGTGGACAGAATGGTGGATTATATCAAACTAATGAATACATTACTGTCCATAAGTTAGAGGCCAGCTTTCATTTATTAAATCTCTAGTCAAAACAATCTGTAAGCACCAGTTATTAATTTTTCAGTAGATATTTCTGAAGAGATTAGATACAAGAGGGGAAAGTCACAGGAAAAGAAATAAATTAATAAAAACAGGAGTTTCCAACACTGTAGTTAAACATTATTGTTAACTGTGGAGGTCAGTAAACATTTTTGTGCAGAAGTGAGGACACACTAAATACTGAAAAGCGTGGACAGTTGTTGAGGTTTCTTTGTAATGGTCTGTTAAATATAGGTTTTCTGCTTTTTGTGAATTACTTATACTTAAAGTATAAGATTTTAAAGTTTAAAGAACTTCAAGATACAGGATAAGATTTTTCTAGAACCAGATGATACTGAGAACTTTTACATTTACAAATCATTTCATTTCCTCCACACCAGATCCACTAAGAAGCAGGTAGAGTTTCTATTTCAGCCTGTAGGGGGCGCCCAGTGCATGTCCGACAATTACTTATAACAATAATGCCCTATTATTCTGATTATGAATAATGTTCAGATCATGATAAACATTCAGTTCAGGTTCTGAGAATTAACACTTTGGTTAAAGTTTCAGAGACGCTGCAGGAAATTTTTAAAAAGTTGAAATTAGATGTTCTGAAAACAAACAAATAAATAAAAAATATAGTTGATAGTGTTGCGTATTCATTATGTTCATAATCATACAACATAGTTCACTGTATGATAAAATGTTCTAATTTGTTTATCAATTTAGTTCTGTTATCTAGTACAGCCCACATGAGAACCAGCTCCATTTCTGCCATCCAGCCCCTGTTCATTCATATGCAAATCTCCATTTGCTCTCATGATATCAGCAGCATCTCCCTCTACAGCAGCTTCCATCACTCTAAATGCAGCACAAACATGTTCTCTTCAGCTCCACTGCTGCTGCTGGCTGCTGCCTCGTGTGAGTGTCCAACTGAAGCTGGATTTGACTTCATCTGATTTATTACTGCAAATATACAAACCTTTTCTTCTCTCTTTTCACAGATGTGTTCTGTGCTACTGAGCTCATCCAGCCAGACTCAGTGCTCATCAAACCAGCAGAGCCTTTAACCATCACCTGTACAGTATCTGGAGCTTCTATCACTGAAAGCAGCAGCCATTATGGAACAGCCTGGATCCGCCAACCTGCAGGAAAAGCTCTGGAATGGATCAACACCATTTATTCTGATGGGAGCAAAAATGCTAAAGATTCACTGAAAAGCAAGTTTAGTGTCTCTCGAGACACAACCAGAAACACAGTAACCCTACAAGGACAGAATCTGCAAGCTGAAGACACAGCTGTGTATTACTGTGCTCGAGACTCACACTGACACAGAAAGGCCAGGATGCTGTTCAAAAACCGTTAAACCACATTTCACAACATGATCATTATTTATTATCCATTTGTTTATATTTCCTTTTATGCTGAATGAATACTAAATAAACATTCGAACATAATTAATATTCAGTACTGAATTTATATATTTTTATGGACATTATTGTGCATTCTCTCATATTTAATCTCTTCATAAACACTTTCTGAAAAATGAATAGCTTGTACTTAAAGGCCATTTCCACTTCAAATTTAATAAATCAAGTGTAGTCTCAGAGTTTATTTATTTATTTCTGATATAATCCATTATTTGATAAACACAAAAACACAATGTTTTGAATGTGCGGTTCAAGAGCCTTTTGTACTCTACATTTTACTTAAACTTTCAAAAGGTTATTCACCCTCAGACACCTCATTTAGTATCACCTAAAAATGAATCACCTGTTCTTATAGGACATTTTGAATGGAGGATAAATAAATAAAAGAAAGGGGTCTCTGACTTTTGCACAATGCTGTAAATGTCAGTTGTTCATACTAATCTCTGTTATTTGTATTATTTATATAATACAAAAGAATAAATCTTATAATTGTTATATCACTTCTTTTGTAAAACACTGACTGTGTTTGCATTTAATATCTTCTACACTGAGTCTGTACAATCACATAAACACAAGCAATGTCAGGCAGAGCTGAAGGACTGTGTTTCAGCCTCCAGGGGGCAGCCTGTGCATTCATTACAAATGAATCTTCTCTAATTCTGATAATGGAGAGTGTTCAGTTTTTTTAAACAGAGTGTCCATAAAGTCTGCATTTGAAGGTGCTGCAGGATTAAGTGTATGTCAGTGGAGTAATTATTCATTTAAAAATTGCTTAAAATAAAAATGAATGAACAAATGATAGGATGATGCACTGATTCTGCATCTACATATCTTGACAGTGTTTTTAATTTGAATGTGAATAAATTCAGATATACAGCTTTACACAGACTCCTAAATGATCTCACTGTCATTTA